AGTTATTAAGTACTTCTTTCACATAAGGTGACTGCATGCAGTATGTTACCATTGCTTCTTTAAATCTCCCTAGACCTATCATTTCTATGGACTACCATCCAAACTCATCAGAACTTTGTGAGTTTCTCTCAGCTGGAGGTAATTGTCTTAAGGTAGCTGGAAAAATTATTGTAGGTTTTCTAATAGACCTAGAATGCGACCCTGAAATCTTGACATAAAGTGGTACCATAGGCTTTACATCAAATTCCAAAAAGGTCTCTTGAGAAAATTCTTTATTCTAGTTTAAAAGATTCTTCCATTTCTATTCTATTGCTTGTAATTTAGCATTCCACCTCTCAGTCCTTTTCCTATCCAAGTCTGTTTTATTATGATCTTTCTTAGAGAGGACATAGAAAATTGCAATTATCTGGAGTCATGAATTTCAGCTTTTCTGTCTTTGCTCACTGATACCTCTGTTCTACTCTCCTGTAGCTAGATCATTAGGTACAGATCATATGTCTGGAAACCTTGTCTAATCTTGATCTGCCTCCCCTGTCCCCACCAGGATCTTGGGCCCTAACCCATGAAATCTCTCACCTGGACCTCTCATTCCTAACTGCAACTTAATGGAGCTTTCCTTAACCAGCCTCCCCACTATTCTTCCTGGCCTCCAGAAGTCACTACTCTCCTTTCAGTTTCTGAATGGTCAACCAGCCATATAAGAAATCACATACACATGAGATTCTTTAGTACCTGTTTTTCCATGATTGGCTTCCTTTGCTTAACACAATGATCTCTTCCTCTATACACAGTCTTGTAAGTAGCACACTTTTATTCTTTTAATGAATAACTATTATTCTGTGGTGTGTATGTTGGCTTGTTTTGCCCATCCATCATTTTATGGACAGATGTTTCTGTTTCTTGGCTCTTGTGAACAGTGCTCTAATAACATAAGAGTATGCTTGTCTCTGACAAGCTCATTTCATTTCTCCTGGATATATATACCCAGGAGTAGAATTCTGGATCATAAAGTAGTGCTTTGATTTTTTTTAACAAAAGATGCAATTTTTGTTTTAATTATGTTTATGTTATATATGTCTGTGTATGGGTTTGTGGATGTGAGTGAATATGGTAGAGAAGGCCATAGGTACAGTATTCCTCTGGAGTTGGAGTTACGGATAGCTGTGAACTGCCCAATGTTTGCTCTGGAATGTGAATCCGGGGCTCCTACAAGAGCAGCACATACTCTTAAACACTGAGCCATCTCTCTATCACTTGGAACCCCTTTCCAGGATGTCTATATTAGTTCTCATTTCCACCAAGAGAGCCAGGGTAGCCTCCACATCCTCAACAGTAATTGTTACTTTCCTAATCAGAAAAATCCCCACTCTTCAACTATTTAAAAAAAAAATGAGTTAGCATGTATGATCCTGATCTGATTATCCAGAGGATCCTGCTTCTGCACTTCCCCAACAAACTTCAGCAATTTAACACAGTTAAAACACTTTTTTTCTGTATTAAAAAAATCTTCAAAGACTGCTTGAAAATTCGTATTAAAATGGCCTTATATAAACATTATTAACCATTTAATAAAATTTGGAAAAGAGCAAATTTAAAAGAAATGATAGTTTATATAAAATTTCACAAGCAGTTTGAAAACTTCCTTTTGTCATTTACACATACAGTCACATACACACACACACACACACACACACAAAGAGAGAGAGAGAGAGAGAGAGAGAGAGAGAGAGAGAGAGAGAGATTTTATTATATTCTTTATCAGTTTAGCATTACAATGTAAAAATGTAAAGAGTTTTGTCTTTATTCTTTTAAAACAAAATATTTATATTTATGTATCATAAAAGTCTACATAGTCATGTTCTTTGGTGTGTATGGCTACCTGCATGCCTATGTGTGCAAGTGCACATTGTGTTTGCACATGCACACACATGTATGAGTGAGTGTGTGTGTGTGTGTGTGTGTATTACACAGAAAACAACCTCAGCTGTCAGCTGTCTTTCCTCAGGCACCATCTACCTTTATTTGTGAGACAGTGTCTCCCACCAGTCTGGAAAATGCACAGAAGGCTGGGAAGTCTGGCCAGTGAACCCCAGGATGCACCTGTTTCTACTTCCCAGTGCTGGGATCACAATCCCTGGACTTTTCTATGGGTTCTCTGCTTGCAAAGGAGGCACTTTACTAACCAAGCATTCTCTCTAGCCCTTCAAGTTCTTATGTACTGTTATATTGTTTCAATTTTTTGAGAATTAATGCAGTAATGAATATGTCTAAGTATCATTTGCTCCATTGTACCATCATACCCTTAGCCAGTACCTTACATCTGTGTTCTCCTGTGGTGACACCTCTTTAGCAGACCATCTCTGAAGGCTTCTCAACCTTCTCACTCCCCAATCTTCCCACGTACATTCTACCAGAACTCCTGGTACTTGATGGTCAAAGTCATGACAGATGCTTTGGTTTGGGCTTCACATGAGCACCAGACTCCTGTTACTGGGCAACTGAGACATTCTTCCATTTTCTAAAGAAAACAAGTGCACTCCAGTTAGTGCCAGCAACCTCACCCCTTTGAAGAATTTATGAAATGTTTTTGCTTAAACAAAATCAGTTTTCTTTTCTTTATAAGTTTTAATAAATGCTACAAAAATAACAGATTTCTGTCACGGTTCAGGGACCTTAGTGCTGCCTGAAGCTGCTGGGATAATGATAAAGGGGGAAATTGAAACTGCTTCTCAGGCATCCCATTCTACTGGTCCTTGGTTTGATTCTAGACTTGATTTTTTTTTTTTTATCATTTTTAGGTTTGTATTCTTAACAATTTAATAGTGGCAACCCATAATACTTCTTTTCCAATAAAATTCTATTAAGTTTTGATATTTTATTGTTCTAGGCCACTTCAAGAAATTCTAAAGTAAAGCCCATGTGGATTATTTAATTTAGGCAACATTGACATATTTGGAGTTGGAGTGTTAGCATGTTACGTGAGAATAAGGACTTTTCTATAGAAAAAGTCAGGTCCATTTTTGTAATCTCAGCACTAGAAAGATAGAGATAGATGGATCTCTGGGGTTCACTGGTCAGCCAACCTTAGCCTACTTGGTGAGGGCCCAGTCCCAGTGAGACATCCTGTCTCAAAAAGCAATGTGGACAGCTCCTGAGGAACAGTGCCTTGACTTCTGCAGACATGTGCACATGTAGTCACACACACACATGTGAACACATATATGTCCTTGAACATACATGCTTGCACATACACAAATAAAATTATTATATTAAGTATTCTCATTTCAAAAAATATAATGCACCTCTATTCACTCCTTATGTGTGTGTGTGTCTTCTATTTAATATGATATATTCTTTTACTTTTTATTAATTTATATCTTTAAGTAGAGTCAAATAATTTACTCCAAAGCATTCCCTCAGCAAATAGCAGTATTTTTGAGGTTGTTGCTGTTTTAGTGAAGATATATTTATTTAGGATCTTTCTATGATTGGTTTGTTACTAGCTTCTCTCCTATTTTTAGTTTTTATGTAAGCAAGATAGTAACTTCCTGTATTTGTTTTTCTTACTGACATTAAGCACAAGGCTTGGATGAAGGCAAAGCAAATACATCTGATATATTACCTCTCCCATGACAGACAGATAATAAATTTACTAACCTAGAGTATGACAAACAATTGTTAGGTGAGAATAAAGCCTATGGACTAACCTGCATATTTGCAGCTTGGTTTGCTTTGCAATGACTTTACAGTCTTATAACAAATGACATTTGCTTCTCAGGCAATTGGACATCATGGCTTCTTATACTGACTTGTGAACAAAGCTGTGGGGAAGCCATTAGCTATTACAGCTAATGAAACTGCACTTACCAGAAGTATGGTGGTTTATTGTCCTTGTGTATGCTTCCCTTAGTTTATACTCTCTGAGTCAGATGATTGGAAAAAAATAATTACCAACCATGCATAATACTGACTGGATCTGCGTTTAAGATTTATGTTTTTGGTTCATCCAGGGATGTCTACAGACTCCAGCATCATGTTCTTAACTGTGAAAAGCAGAAAACCAGAGTAGACCAAGGAGAGTTTCCTAGGATCCTCTTTCAGAACATCTCAGCATATTTTTTACAGCCACATACCACAGCTGGGTCCATTTACATACTCAGGAAGAAGGCAAAACACTTTATCTTCTGGTCTTCAATTGAGAGAAGCAGGATAGTGAGAACAAAATGGAGAAATACTTATGGATATTCAGTCAACTAGCTTCTCAAATAAACAAGTCAAATAATAGTCTGCTATTTATAAAGATTTGTACTTCAATTGGTTAAATATTTAGGTAGCTATCTTATCTTAGGTTTTCTTTTTTTATTGATGTGGAAAGACATTGTAACCAAAGCCACTCATAAAAGCAAGTATTTAATTGGGTGTTTGCTTAGTATTTCAGAAGGTGAATTCTTGATCATCATGGCAAGAAGCATGGCAGCAGACAGGCAGGCATGGTGCCAGAAAAATAGTTGAGAACTTAGATCTGATCCCAAAGCTGGAGGCAGAGAAAAAACTAACTACCAATGGCAAGAGAAACTACAAAGCCCACTTCCAGTGACACGCCTCCTCCAACAAGGCCACACCTCCTAATCCTTCACAAACAGTTTCACTAACTGAAAGCATTTAAATATATGAACCTATGGGGGCCATTTCCATTCAAGCCACCACACACTTGCATAGATACAGTGCATGTGCAGCAAAAGAGATATTTCCTGAGGCTTCTTTGTGTAGGAGTTTGTGAGTAATTACTATGTGTTCAGAAAAATTGAAGCAACATCATAGTTGATATATTAAGAAGTGTCATTCATCTTGAAACTTAAGAAGTTGTTTATGTGAACTTTGACATTTCACAGGAGAGTTAGACATATAAGATACCTTTCACAATGCTGCACCATATATTGTGTTTATAATGAGAAATCTGCAAATTTGGAATTTACTCTGTCATAACTGTTTGTATTTAGATGACGTGTTGAACGTTATTCAAAATGAAGGGTTCATCATACTGATGCAGAGGCAAATAATATTATCAGAGGGAGAAGCAAAAACAGTGTGCAAGATCTATGAGAACGAAGAGTATTTTGATAATCTGATAGGACACATGAGCAGGTAAGGCAGTGTTCAGGATTAGAAAGAGTTGTGAATATAATCTGCTCATTTCAACCTTTCTTAAGCTTTCTTTTTTTAATTAGGTTGAAGAAAACTTATGAATTCCATAAACAAGTTCTTGGTCTATGTCTTTGTCAGTCTTGTTACTTTCCTCATTCTCTGCTCAAATATCTGTTCCTATCTCTTTTCGAAATATTATTAGAACAAATAGTAGGTCCCATGGACACGGACACATATCAGTTTCCACTAAAGAAGGATGCAACATTCCAGAGTGAGCAGTATTACCCGGTCCAAGCAGAGCACTGTCTGACCCTTCGAACAATCTGATTACGGTTTCAGGGGCTTTGATAATCTTTCTGTGTCACATATCCTGGAAAAGAAATGAGACCCTAGAAAGTTGCCTCATATCTAGAGGAGTAAGCCATATGCAACTGAAGCAAAAATACAGCAAGTTTACATAAATCAACCAGAGTATGGCAGCCTGGAAGAAACCACTCTAAGAAACTATGGTCCCATCTTTTCCTCCCATCTTTCTTCTCAGCTTACCTGAGTATGCTCTTGAGTAGATGTTGACATATAATATTATTGGACTTTTTGTATATCATTTGACATGCTCAGTCTGATGGTTGGCTGTGAGCATCTTCATCTGTATTGGTCAGGCTCTGACAGAGCCTCTCAGGAGACAGCTATATCAGGCTCCTGTCAGCAAACACTTCTTGGCATCAGCAATAGTGTCTGGGTTTGGTGTCTGCATATGGGATGGATCCCCAGGTGGGGTAGTTTCTCGATGGCTTTTCCTTCAGTCTCTGCTCCACTCCATTTCCCTGTATTTCCTTTAGACAGTAGCAATTCTGGGTTAAAATTTTGGAGATGGGTGGGTGGCCCTATCCCTCAACTGGGGGCCATGCCTAACCTCTGGATATGGTCTCTACAGGTTCTCTCTCCCCTTTGTTGGGCATTTCAGCTAATATGATCCCTATTGGGCCCTATTGGGTTCTTGATTTCCTGGCATCTGGGACTTTCTAGTGGCTACCCCATTGCTACATACCTCTGTTCAATTTCTTGACCCTCTGTATATCTTCCCTGTCTCCTCCTATACCTGATCCTGCCCCCTTTTTCTCTTCCCCTTCCTTCCCTTCCCAAGTCCCTCCCACTCTCTACTTCCCATTATTATTTGCTCCCTCTTCTAAGTAGGACTGATTTTGTTTTTCTAACAGTAATCACTCTTATGTACTTGCATTACTGAGGGAAAATGGTGTGGAATATTGGAAAGAGTTAATTGGGCCAAAAACTATTGAAGAAGCTTATGCATCTCATCCACAGAGGTATCACTTACATTATGGCTTTCCATCCTTTTCCATGCAATACAGTTTAGTTTCTTTTGAATTCTAAGATACAGGAAGTACAATTTTTGTGTGAGACAGCTTCTTAGGAAAGCACCTGTTCCTGGTGGAGTAGTTGGAAGACTGGTTTAATAGCAGCTTGAAGATGATCATAGTTTTGCAAGAAAAGATGAAATGTTTGACTTAGCCCTCTCATCTTTATTTACTGGAAGAAATATCTACCATGACCACAATTTATGACAAATTATCCAGAGAAAAGTTGTAATCACAGCTGCAACATCTTCAATTGATCATAAGAGTTTTGAAATGTGTATAAGAAAATAAGGTTAATAAAATTAACCTTAACACCACTTTACAGAGAACTTTAATCTTACCAACTGAGGTCACATAGCTAGCCAGGATTTTTCACTACCAGGGTCCCTGTTCTTTATTGTCTTCCCTTGGTCATATCCATTAACAACGTGACTTAAATGTTCACCTATTTTCTCCCTAATATCTGCTACCTCCCTGAAAGAACATAGTGTATCCAGTCAGCTGCTAATTACTTCCTTTTGTGCAGTACTTCAATCTGAAAAAGGTGCAGTTGCTTGATTTGTTTTCTTGCTGACATAAACAGTGATATATTGCATTATATTACTATATTACATCCAAGTTTCAATTTATCCCTTTTTCTTTTCCAAGTTTATGTGTACAGTTTGCTTCAGGAAATTTTCCTATCAACCAGTTCTATGGGAGCAGTTCAAAAGCAGCAGCTGAGAAGGAAATAGAGCATTTCTTTCCTCCTCAGAGGACGCTGGCATTGATCAAGCCTCATGTGACACATGGAGAAAGAAGTAAGGATCTACTTTATCTTTAAGCCCTGACATTTTGTCTTCTGTTTGATTCATTCTACAGAGAGATGGCACCACTGAATTTTCTAATAGGAACATTAATTTTTTTCAATTTCATCTTTATTTTGCCTTTTGTTTCCCTTCAGTGCATTTATTATTATTATTATTATTATTATTATTATTAAACTCAGTCTTTAAATCCTGGTCAGAAATAGCAACTGAGTGACTAGGGTTCTTCTAGGGATTCTTCTTCAGTTGGAGCTTCTTGAGTTTCTGCCATAACTTCCTTCAATGATGGACTGTGGTGTAGAAGCATATGATGAAGCAAATATTTTCATTCCCAAGTTATTTCCAATCACTGTGGTTTGATTACAGCAATATAAACCCCTACTAAGACAGAAATTGGTACCAGAGAGTAGACTATTGATTTGACAGAACTGACCATGACTTGGAGAGGATGATGGAAAGATCTTTGAATTTGGGGCTGGAGAAACCATCAGGGGCTCAGAGTTTAATGGCCTGTTCTGTGGTATCTTGGCAAATAAGAATGTTGAGCAATGTGAAGTTTCAGAAGGAAGCAACAATCCTACTGTAAGCTATTTGTATGATATTTTGTGTTAAGAATCAGTAATGTATGGTTAGCTGAAAAATCAGGTGTAATTAACAAGAACCCAGCCCCACTAAAGTAAAACCTTGGCATTATTGCGACAACAGATGCTGGTTAGTTGGTGCAAGGAAATTAGCAGCAATTAAGAAGAGCCCAGCATTATTGAGGTGAAATCTTTGTGGGGGGGTGCTTCCTTAGGGTCATCACAGAGAATCCATGGTCCAGAGGTGACCAAGGCTGTACTTTATTGGCAGCTGAACTTGGTAATGTGTCATGGTTTGAATGTGCTTGGCCCTGGGAATGGCACTACTTGGAGGTGTGGCCTTGTTGGAGTAAGTGTGTCACTGTGGGTGTAGACTTTAATACCCTACTCCTAGCTGCCTGGAAGTCAGTCTTCTACTAGCAGCCTTCAGATAAAGATTTAGATCTCTCAGCTCTGCCTGCACCATGCCTGCCTGGACGCATTCTCCCACCTCAATGATAATGGACTGAACCTCTGAAGCTGTAAGCTAATCCCAATTAAATTTTGTCCTTTATAAGACTTGCCTTGGTCATGGTGTCTGTTCACAGCAGTACAACCCTAACTAAGACATAATGTCTCCTTGGTGTTAGTGATTCTGAAGCATGAAGGGGTCATGAAGAAGAGCTGAGGCCTGGCACTATGAGAGTCCACTGGTAAAAGTGCAGCTTCAGTTGCTGTAGAAGCCTGAAGATGGAAGGGGTAATGGAGAGAATGTGAGGCTTGGCATCATGATGCAAGATCAGAGTCCCTGGAAGAGAACAGGAAAGGCTATTGGTGAAGGTACAGCTCAGTTGTAGCAGAGACCCTAGGATTCCAGAGATGTCGGTACTGTGGAACAACCACTAAGGACAGTATCATGTATGGAGTGGCTGGGGCTGAGCCTATGAGACAAGCTGCTCTGGGATGCAAAAAGAAAATCTGAAGGAATATGTTGTAGAACCCAGAGGATTGTGAATAGGTTTTAGACATAAAGCACCGAGACTCTCCCACCATTTAATTTTGTTTCACTTTGCTTTATGACTGTGACCTGATACTTCCCTCACAGGGTAAGAAAGTGTTTACCTCATTTCTTAATTTCAGCAGGAATTCACAGTTGACTTTGAACTTTTAAAGAGACTTTGGAGTTTACAAAATCTTTGAAGTTTTAGAGGGACTGGATATTTTAGAGAGGCTTGAAGTTTGAGACTTAGGATGATTTAAAAAAAATAGACTGGGTTTTTGAAGACTTGAAGTTTTAAAAGGTAAGGTGTTTGATATTGTGGTATTAATGTTAACATGACACCTGGAGGACAGGACAGAGAGGTTAGCACTGAATAGTGATGTATTTGTGGGTCAAATTGGCAAGTAGGTAACTGTGCTAAGTTGTGTCTTCTCAGCTTGACACAAGCTAGATTCATTCAAGAAGAATGAACCTAAAGGCGTTTTCCTTATTGATAGTTGACAATTGGTGTGGAAGGGCCTAGTTAACCATAGAAAGTGCCATTCCTAGGCAGATGGTCCTAAGTTGCATGAGAAACTAGACTGAGCAGGCCAGAAAGAAGCACATCTTTACAGCTTCTGCTTCATTTTCCACCTCTTGAGTTTCTGCCCTAACATCCTTCAGTGATGAACTGTGATGTTGAAGGATAAGATGTAATAACTCCTGTTCTCCCCAAGTTATTTACAATCATGGTGTTTTGTCACAGCAGTAGAAACATCAACTATGACATCCTCCTTATTAGCTTTGTGACACCACTTTGCTCTGACCATGCCTAACACAAAGGCCATCATTTCTAAGGAGGGGCGGGGTCTGCAATGGGGATGTAAGGGAAATAAGTAAGTGAACAAATAAATAAATGAAAAAATTCCTGCGATTCCAAAGAGAATTGGTTCTTGGCTTATGGTTTAGGTACTGTACACATTATTCTTTATACTATCATTTTCTCACAATCAATTTATAAGATTGGATCATTTCTGATGTATGCTTTCTACTCTGTTCACATTTATTATTAGAGCCTCCCCACCCCACCCCCGGTTATCCCTGCTAGTAGGAAAGATCCAGTCTTCTTCAGGTTCTCTGTAGGTTAGGTCTCACTCACCTTTACTTGAAGCCCAGCACATCTGAATGATTTTTATTTGATGTGAAAAAAACTCATTTCTTGTTCTCCTCTTTCCCCTTCCTCAATTCCTCTACATCGTTCATGTTCCTCCCTCCATCCTCCTTTTCCAGAGAGATTCTGTAAAGGTAACTTTTATGTTCCTGTTGTAATCATTTCTGGGAAGCTTACTGTCTCTGTCTGCTAACCTCGATTTAGTCCTCTGTACAATCTAATCTAGGCCTAGATGTTTTCAGCATCTGAGACTTGCTGCTCAATAAGCTCATCCTTTGTTTTTCTTTCTGAGCTCTAGCTGGCTGGTCCCACTCAGCTGTTCTGGCTCAAACTCTTCTCTCAGTTGACTTACTTAATCTGTCTTTTCTCTTGGCCTCTTAATTACTCTGCTTGGCCTCAAACTAAATCTAGCAATCTTTTCTAATCTTCTGGCTTCTTCTCATTCTCTTGCTCATTCTGATTTTACCTATGTCTAGCTTGTTCTCTCTTCTATTTGTCTCTGTAAAACTGTCCTGGCAAAACTATCTCCTCCCTCTCTGTGATGCTCTAGCCTGCCTCTCAACTCCACTGCACCACTCCCCGTAAACTCTACATTATTCCTGCACTGTACTCTCTTCTTCCTGTACTGCCTGGCTGTCCCTTAAGTAGCTTCCCTTTCCTCTCTCTTCTCCTGAGAATTTGGCGTATCTTATTCTGTCAAGTCTTTCGCTGATTCCTCACTATGTCTGCCACTCAATTAGACATCATTTTCAAACATGGGTGCTTCCTTCTACAAACTAACTTTACCTCCTTTGTTTGGGAATAAAGGAGAGTAGTAAGGGCTAAGCCATACCTTAGCTAGAAATAGGTTCAAATATACTGTAGCATCTTTTAGTTGGTTCCCCTTGGTCTGGTGAATGCAGATTTCATCATTCAGGCTGTTGGCGAGATTCTTACAGAATTGCCTGTATTGATGCACTCAGCAGTACCTCTATGCTTCAGGCAAGAATGTTTGCCTTGGTTCTTCCTCTAGCACTGATCACATAAGACATTTGTAGGAATCTGGGGTGTAAAAATGAAACTATGTCTTCATGTTTAGCATGATGACAGATCTCATTCTCCATTTGATACTCTTAGTTGATCAAAGTGAGATATCCATGCTAATATCCTAAAGGTCTTCTGGCTGTGAACTTTTAATTTTCACAATTTTCTATATATAAACCACAAGATGCAAGTTGAACTATTATGTTCCTCTGGTATTTTTATATCCTTGAATGTGCTATGAACATGAAATGAATGGTCTACAATAGAACCTTGTTTGTTTCCTTAGTGGAGATCCTGAAGGCCATTAAGGAGGCAGGATTTGAACTGACTCTGATGAAGGAAATGCACTTGACTCCAGAGCATGCAAACAAAGTTTATTTCAAAATAACAGGAAAAGATTTCTATAAAAATGTATTGGAAGTCTTATCTTCGTAAGTTTCTGAACTGCAGTTGTTTGTACTTTAGAACTGGCAATTGTATATTATAGAAACCATGGGAAACAAATTATTTGGAACAACTTTCTATCTAATATGACTCATGAAAAGACATCTTGTTAACATTTAAAGTTTACCTTTTTTTAAAAAACCAATTTCTTCCCTTTCCCCTTCCCTGCCTTCCCTTCCTCTTTGGATTTCTTTAGTTTTTTACACTACATGTAGTAGCTGTCAGAGTTAAGTTCTTCCTTAGCCAATGCAGAACTATGCTAAAAATCTCCTTATTTGCAAAATGGAGAGAAATCCATAAGACCTAGTCACCGGAAGTGAAAGAACCCGGAATCTGTACCATGCACACTAAGAAAGCAGAACTCCAGGTGAATCTATTGTAGATAGATTTCCTGTATGTTACATTGAGAGTTGATGTTTCAGGCTATGTGTTTAGAGGATTGTTTGGAGGATAAGAAATAGAGGTGAGCAGGGCAAGAGAAAGTGATCAGGGTGTTTACAGAGGTGAAGTCTTTGCTGACCAACTAGTGGTCATCCAAGTGGTAATACAGTGAGTTGAGGTAAGACATTTTTATAACTTATACCAATCACTGAATAGAGTACATCTTGGGAGTAAAGGTAGTCTAGGGAATGTGGCTTTCTGCAGTGGAGGTAATCTCTAAAGGACAGTGGAGGTAATCTCTAAAGGACAGTGGAGGTAATCTCTAAAGGACTAGGCAGTGGTTCTCAATCCGTAGCTCATGACCTCTTTGGGGGTGCATATCGGCTACCCTGTGTATCAGATATTTTCACTGTGATTTATAATAGTAGCAAAATTACAATTAACAACAGTAGCGACAAAATAATTTTATGGTTGAAGGTCACCACATGAGGAACTGCATTAAAGGGACACAGCATTAGCAAGGTTGAGGACCACTGAACTAGAGGCTGAAGGATGAACATGAACCAAAAGTCTGGGTCCATGACAATGTTCATGTGGTCCCCAAGATAGTAAAAATATTAGTCCATTTGCATGATTCTCTTCTGTCAAAGTACAACACTCAAATAACACAAAACTTGTGAAAAAGTAGAAAGCAAAGATAGCACATGATCATATTGATTAGGGAAATGCACCAGAAGCATCCTGTCTTTAGCAGTATGTGTAACCCATGCTCTTCAAGCAGCCTGCCTTCTAAAAGAATTGCTATTTGCAGGGGCATGTCGTTAATCCTGGTTCTGACCAAGTGGAATGCTGTCGCAGAATGGAGGCGAATGATTGGCCCAGTAGACCCAGAAGAAGCAAAACTGCTCTCCCCAGATTCCCTGCGAGCCAGATATGGACTAGACATTTTAAGAAATGCTGTCCATGGGGCATCTAACGTGTCTGAAGCAGCAGTCAGCATTGGCAATGTGTTCACAGAGGCTAATCTTGAGGGCTAGGACAAATACGAGAGTAAGTGCTATAAACACTTTAACAAATTTTGCTTTCCTTCTTAATTTTAGTTTTGAGATTACAATATAATTATGACGTTTTATATGTCTCTTTCTTCCCTCTAAACCCTTCCACATACCCACCCTCACTGTCCTTCAATTTCATGGTCTCTTTTTCTACTAATTGTTATTGCATGCACATATATGTATATATGTTCCTAAATATAACATATTTATATTTACAGTTACATTCGCATTTGCATTTGCTTTTGCATTTACATTTATTGGCTGACCATTGGGCATTGAACAGCCAATTGATGTGCGACGGAATCTCACAGCAAACTCCCTGATCCTCTGCTCCCTTTTTCACAATGTTTCCTGGGTCTTAGTTTCAAGAGGGTCTTGTAGATATATCTACTGGGAGCAGGCTTCACAACTCTGCATTTTGATTGGCTGTGGTTTTCTGTAGAGACCCCTGTCTGTCACAAAGAGAACTTTCCTTGATAAGTGGTTAAGACTACACTTACCTTTGGGTATGAAGACAAATGGTTATAGACTGTTACTAGGGATTATGCTGATTTAGTAAATTAGTGGTTGTAGATTCTCCTTCAACAACAAACACTTCACTAGCACTGAACATTTAGCTAGGTTTTCAGTACCAGCTATGGCTTTTGGTTAAACAGTTCTTAGATATGTCCACTCATCTTTGAGGTCTATGAACCCATCAATGGCAGGCATGCCGTGATACCCCTAAGGATATAGTAGTGGCATGCTATGTCATGTGAGACATGATGTGGGAAACGAGTGATATTTTCCATCAAAGCTGTTCTCCCACCTTATGCTTAAAAGTAGACATTAAATGTCTGCTGTATTGGAGCTGGAGAGCTGGCTCAGTGGTTAAGAGTTCTGACTATTCTTCTTGTCCTGAGTTTAATTCCCAACAACCACATGGTGGGTCACAACCATCTGTGGTAGAATCTGATGCCCTCTTCTGGTGTGCATGAAAGACATCAACAGTGTACTCAACTACATTAAATAAATAAATAAATAAATAAATAAATAAATAAATCTTCCTTATAGAGTATGGAAGATTGATTCACAATCAGATTCAAAAGAGAGTTGTGATTTAGAAAGTACTATATATTCTGTGATAGTCACATTGGGAAGATGATATCCAGAATTGATGATAAATCATATTATAAGAGCTAGGGAGTTTGAGAAGATTCCTGTATGGTGATATCAACAAAATGGTGAATATGTGCCTGCCCTCCTCATGGGACCCAAAACGAACATAACCACAAACTGTCAGAAAAATATATTTCAGGAATTTCGACAGTAAAGATTTGTAGGAACCTGAAAAATGATGATTCAATGTAAGGGCATCATAAGATGGTCTAGAAGTCTGGTAGTTCTACTCCCAAGGTCAGACCTGAGTCTCTGGTTCTAAAGAAAAGGACAGATTTTTACAAATTATTCTGTTTATCTGCTTTCACAATTCTGGATGGCATCTGAATAAGAATTGCACATGTATTTTACCTAATCTGAAAACTAGTCAACTGGAAAGTGAGAGTATTGCTTGGAATTATTGATTAATAACTAAGAAATCCACAATTGCTCAGAACTAAAAAAAAAATTAGGGCTAAAATGCATATAATAGACTGTCTGAAGTCAGGAAGGTGTTAACAGAAAGGATCTTTAAGAAATTAGAACATGAAAAAGTGCTAGTATATATTAGGGAATTTAGAAACGTTTGCAGATACCCAGAGCAGTATATATGCTTATAAAAGAGATGAAAGTTGCCACTGGCTGATCTGCACACTCAAGTTTAAGCAGGAAGTACTGACAGAAGCAAAAGTAAGTCTAAATATCTTGACTACACATTTGAGTTTAAGTACAAAAGTAATCTGTAGATATGGAGTAATATGTAGGTATTGTGTTGCTATGGTTAAAGCTGGCTTTTAGGGAACACTGACAAACTGATACTAAGTAAATTTTGACCAAATCCAATAAAGGAGTATATAGGTTAGTGGGAAGTTATCCTATGTTCATAAACTCAAAAAACCTTCTATTGTTACAATGAAACTATTAACCAAGGTGAGCTATAGACTGAAGGAGTAGGGATTTTGTGCAGAGATTCTCAACCAGTGAGTTACCATCCCAGCTCTGGTCCAGCAGGATAAAACCTCAGCAAAAGATACAACCAACAACCTAATGCCAAATGCCTACATCCCATGGCAAAAATAATATGAAAATACTAGACAGCATATACCCCAACAAACTACTAATCTTACAGTAGTGGTCCTTAACAAGTATACCTCAAGGAAACTGGAGACATGGAATTGAAAAGAAAAATTATCAACACACACAAGGAGTTCAAGAAATCAAGAACAATCACAACCACAACCAATCTCCCTGAAAATTTTCAAAAAAATAAAACTAGAAAGAAATTTTCTAAAATCTCTTTACAAAGCCAGTTTTAACTCTAGCACTCAAACCACACAAAAAAGCAACAAAGGAGAACTAGAGATACGTGACTCTGATGAATGTAAATGCAAGAATCCACAAGGCAGATCAGGAAAACAAAATATGAACACAAATTAAAAAAAGTCAGATCATAATAAGCTTGCTTTTATCTCAGAGATTAAAAACAACAACCAATCAAACAAAACAAAAATTCCTGGGATTGATAAATGCTTTCAGCAAACTTGCAGGATACAAAATTAACATACATAGCTTTTTTGTATGCCAATGGTAAACCAATGAGATGGAAATCAGGAAAACAATTCCATTTACAATACACAAAATATAACTTGCAGTAAATCTAATCAAGGTAGTAAAGGACTTGTATGATGAAAACTTTAAAACTGAGAAGAAAATAAAGAAGACACTAAAAAATGGAAAGACCTCATAAATATGTGTATCTTGAATAGCAGATTCAAACTTAAGACCAAGTGATCACAGCAACTTAATTTTTTGAACAAAATACACACTGGAAGAAAGAGGTCTTCTTCAACAAATGATGTATGGTAAATTGTATGTCAACATGTAGGTGAATGAAACTTGATTCTTGTCTCTCATCCTGAACAAAAGGCCAATTCCAAGTGCATCAGTGACCTAGAACTGAAACATCCAGAAGAAAAGGCATAGAGCACACTACAGAACAGGCAGATTTAAGGAACTCCTAAGTAGGATTCTTGATGCTCATGATGAAATAAGACCAACAACTGGCAAATGGTACCTCATGAAACAAAACAGCTCTTAGGAATCCACAGTGCCGAAGTAAATGAAAGAAAACTTTTACTTGTACATCTGACAGAGGATTACTGTCTTGAGCATACAAAAGACTCAAAAACCAAAACATCAAGTAATAAAATACTTAATAAAAATGAACTACAGATATGAACACAGAATTCTCAAAAGAAGAAATATGATTGGCTAATTGATACTTTTAAAAACAAAATAACAGACTTAGGCATTTTAAAATCAAAACTACTTTGAAATTTCATTTCAATCCCAGTCTGAAAGGTTATCAATAAAGTAAATATTAACAATTGCTGACAAGGATGTGGGGAATGCAAACTGATCCAGCTACTGTGGTACAGTGTGATTTCCTAACATGATAGAAGTAAAACTACTATAAGATTCAATTATTCCACTCCTGAACAGATACCAAAGGACTGTGTATCCCACTGCCAAGACACGTCCTCATCCATGTTTACTGATGCTTTACTCAAAGAAGCTAGAAAGCGGAATCAGCTTAGATGTCCATCAACTGGTGAATGGATACTGTACATACAATTAAATTTTTATTTAGGTGTAAGCAAATATGAAAATTTCAGACAAATAGGTGAAATTGGAAAAAATGTACTGAGCGAGGCAACCCTGACAGAGAAAAACAAATAGATGTCTCTCCCATATGTGAATTTCAGCTTTATATCACTAATTTTTTTTGTGTTTGATTTAGAGATTTGTAGATGACAGAAGTCGAAAAGAGTCATTGGGAAGGGGTGCTTTAAGAGAGATGGAATAGTAGATTAGATCATAGATAAAATGCAAGCAGAGAGGGTAATACTGGGACTGGAAAAATTTTAAATTGGGAGAGGCTGGGCAGATAGTGAAGGTGGAGCAGGGAGGGAAAAAACCAAAATGAAGAGGCCTGAAAGACCTTATAACAAAATCTTATGTCAAAAACAAACTGCTCTAAAAATCAGTCTATAACATTGCCATGTTATCTTATGAATGTGTTTTTTCACTTCACAGAAGCTCAAGGAGGTAAGGAAGTTTTCATCAACATAAAACCACAAGGCACAACTGTCTATGAAGAGTAAAAAGAAAAATTGCTCCAAGGAAAACACACATGGAGATGAAAACTTGCATGGCTATGCATGGTAACAATAAAAACTGTAACCCCCAAAACAGGGTCAGGTGTTTAGTTTTCCTCAAGGACCTAAGAAGGATTCTATAAAGGTGCACTGCACAATACAACAGAAGGTGAGGAAAAACACGAGCAGGAAGAAATCAGAGTAGATGCAGCCTGCAGACCTTAGAAAGAATGTGTTTGGCCAAACATAAGTTGGTAACTAAACTTTCCAGCCAGAAAGCCTAAGAATTTGGAATATAGATAGAAACACTGATTGTTTTCAAATCTCAAAAGATTTGTTTTGTTTTATGTGTGTGACCATTTTGCCATGCACCGTGTACATGCCTAGTACTGGCAGAGGACAGAAAAGGATGTTGGCTCCCCTGGAACTGGAGTTATAAGTGGTTGTGTGGGATTGCTGTGATCTAAACCCAGGTTGTCTGCAAGAGCAAGAGTTCTCAACTCCTAAGCCATCTCCCCGGCTCCAGAGGCTTGTTTAATTTGCACTCTCGCTATGAGATGGTGCAGTGCAGACCATGCTCCTAGCCCCCTGCAGTATAATGCTAACCCTATCTGCAGAGAAAGGAACAGAGTGGGAGTTTTCATTGATTCTATCTTTTCCTCTCTCAAGTGACACTGCAGTACCCTTTCTTGTAGTCAAGGACTCCCAAGTTTATAGCCAGGCTCATGTGCAATTCCCAGCCACCAGATGTCACCTCCTTCTCAGTCCACTCAAGAGTTTGCTATGCCTGACAAGTGAGCAAGGAAGTTCTCCTACTTGTTCCATCAGATCTTAGTAATAGATTACTCACTTGAAAATTGTAGTGTTCCAACACTGCTCGATACTCCCGAGTGACACTTGTGAGGGGTTATCAAGTATGTAAAATCTATTCTTAAGAAAAAAAAAAGTATCTTTCTAAAAAAATTCCAAGTGATTTTAATGTAATTACTTTTAAGTATCACATGAATACTGTATTTACACCACTGTATTTACCACTCTCTCTTTTGCCTCGAACTCCTCTGTGTTAGCCCAACTCCATCTTAAATTCTTAACCTCCTCTTTAAGTTTTGTACACACTTACTTGTATCCTGCTGGCTCCGTCTGATAGTACTCCAATGTATATGTATTTTGGACTGACCACTTGGATAGCATACCAGGGTCCTTGTCCCTGGAGAATACTGAATATCTCTTTCCCAAAAGCCATTTAACGAATGTGCTCTTCATCTAGAGTAAGCCTTCTAAGACTTCCCTCATAGATGTTGGCATACCAGTTGATGCAATTTTTCAAGTCTAGTTTAGCTGACCGTATTGTTGTGATTTCATCAATACAGATTCATTGTTTTAAAATGAAGGTAGCTGTCCAGCAGACTTGTTGGTCCTTTGGCTCTTAGCAAGCATTTCACTACCTCTTCTGAGATATTCCCAGAGTTTTCAATGTAGGGATTGTGGGATGTATCAGTTGGTGTTGGGCTCCCCAATCACTACTTATTATCTGCATTTTGACCAGTTGTGGCTTTCTGTAATGGTCTCCATCTTCTGCACAAAGAAGCTTTATTGGTGAGGAGTAATAAGTTCACTTATCTATGTGCATAAGTCAGTTAGAAAGTATACTGACTTAGAAGAGTGGCAACAATAGGAAGCCTCGGGAAGGAGGCTTCCATGTCAATTCCAGCTCAATTCCTCCAAATCCTAGGTCTGCAGTTTGTAGTGTCTTCAGCATTAAGATATTACTTTCAAGTTCTGGAAGGCAACCAAGGACACTGACAACCTATAATGTTTGCAGAGTCTCTTGGACTTCCCTGATCACAAGTAGAAGGCATGCTTTCTCTCTCTGGCATGGAGGTTTTTTGTGAGACACTCAGTGGTTTATGGAAGGAAGCGTTATCACTCTAATTGTGATAACTATTTAAATATGTATTATATATAATGTACTGATTAGTAGATATGTATTTTCAAGTAAATTTAAAATATTTTCCATGTGGCCTTTTCAAACACTATTAGTGTTATTTATTTCCATTATTTCTTTATGCCTCTGTCTTAGTCAGAGTTTCTATTCCTACACAAAACATCATGACCAAGAAGCAAGTTGTGGAGGAAAGGGTTTATGCAGCTTACACTTCTACATTGCTGTTCATCACCAAAGAAAGTCAGGACTGGAACTCACACAGGGCAGGAACCTGGAGGCAGGAGCTGACACAAAGACCATAGAGGGCTGCTGCTTACTGGCTTGCTTCCCCTGGCTTGCTCAGCTTGCTTTCTTGTAGAACTCAAGATTACCAGTCCATGGATGGCACCACCCACAATGAGTCTTAATCACCAGTTGAGAAAATGCCTTACAGCTGGATCTCATGGAGGCATTTCCTCAAGGGAGTTTCCTTTATCTGTGATAACTCCAGCTTGTGTCGAGTTAACTTACAAAACCAGCGAGTACACCCTCTATATTATTCTCCCTTTCCCCATGCAGTCAAATGTCCTTTCTTCCTGTGTTCTACTATCCCCTGGAAACTTTATATTTTCCTGATTCCTGCAATCACTCCATGGTATCTCATATCCAAAGATTCAGAACTAGTGTCTTAATTAGGGTCACTATTATTGTGATGAAAGCAACTTAGGGTGAAAGGGTTTATTTGGCTTATATATCATGAATAATAGTCCATTGAGGGAAGCCAAGAAAGGAATTCAAATACAGCTTGAACCTAGAGCCAGGAGTTGATGCAGAAGCCACAAAGAGTGTTGTTCATTGGTTTGCATCTCATGCTTGATAAGAAAGTCTTGTATATATACCATTTCTCAACTGAGATTCCCTCTCTGAGATGATTCCAGCTTGTGTCACATTAATAAAAATAGGATCCACAAATATGACAAAGCATACAGTGTTTGTCTTTCTGCATATGGGTTACCTCACTCAATGTAGTTATTTTCTAGTTCTACCTATTTACTTGCAAATTTAATGATTCATTTTTATAGCTGAGCAGTATTCCATTATGTATATGAATCATATTTTCATTTTCAATTAGTCAATCAAAGAACATTTAAGTTGTTTCCATTTCGTAGCTATTGTGAATAGAATAGAAATGAACGTGACTGAGCAAGTATTTGTAAAATAGGATGCTGAATCCTTTGGGCATATTCAAGAATTTGTATAGCTGGGTGGTTATCAGGAGCCATAGTAGGACAAGCTAATAACTAGCAGGTGATTGTCCTGAGATGGTCTGCTTCGTATTAATCCACTAGATTTTTCTCTTATAGGCAAGGCCTAAGAGAATTCATTTTAGGGAAGATTCTTGCTATTAATATGCCTTTCCTGTTATTATTAAACATATATAAAAATCACTAGTTATTAGCCCATACTTTTTGGGCAGATCTCTGCAGATCTATGAAGATGTACTGTCTTGTAGTGATGGTATATAGGCAGATAGATGACTTCTTAAGTCTTAATGATGATCCTATAAGAATTGCTAAAATTATATTAATGATAACTAAGCTCTTTTATAGTGAGACTGTTATTAGATTCTTTTCTGGTAGTCAAAACTGCAATGAGAACTTTGTCAGTCTCCCATGTGTCACCAGTTAATCGCTCTTAGATAGTAACCAGACTTGCTCCTATTCAGAGCACATTCCAAGAGATCCTAAAACCATTAACCAAAGATCTTAAAAGGGGAATATAATGATTTATTATAGGTGCTAGGAAAGAAGATAAAATATTGCCTGGGTTTGTCTATACAAAACTTCACGAATAACGTGTTATGTTTTTCAACCTTCTATGAACCTGTGGAGCTGTAACAAGTGATGGATGTTTAGCCAGATAATTATTCCTAATGGATATGCATGTAAACATTTCTCTGTTGTAAACTTCTATTTCGATTTATGATTTGAATTTTATGTGTGAACTTGTGAACTTTTTAACATGTGATCATGTTTTAAGTGCTGAAGACAAAGAGAAAAGTCAGAACTGAGCAGAGAAGAACTGAGCTGAGGAGAACTTTTTAGACAGAACACTTTTTAGACAGAACTGAACTCAAGATTTTAGAAGTATAGGCATAGCATTGAGAGAAAAGGCATTGAGAGTAAGAGCATTATTGTGACATTGGAGCAGGAGGAGAAAACAAGGTTAGAAGGAGAATACAGAGTGGAATAACTTAGAACCTATAATGTAACATAAAAAACTAAGAGCAATGTGCAGAATGCAGAGAGGGAAAGAGGAAAACAGAAGAAGCTGCAGAGAGAGCAGAAGGAGCAGGCAGCTTCTCCTTACCATTGGACACAACAGATCCTTTCTTAATAACAAGGCAGGCTTAGTCGTATTTAAAGGAACAAAGCTTTCTTCTTACAGACTTGGGTTTAATTCATTTAGCAATAATAGGGAAGAAACTTTTTCTTTCTCTGTGCAATAAAGATTGGAGCTCAGTTTTCATCCAGAATGAGTGAGTTCTTTCTGCACTGGTGCTTGGTCTTTTTCTCTATATGCATATGTAAGTATGGATGTGTGTGTGTGTGTGTGTAAGTATGTAATTGTGAGAATGTATGTAATGTATGTATATGTATGTGTGTAAGTATGTAACTGTGAGAATGCATGCAAGCTGGGCTCAACTGGTTTGAATGGAAATGTATAAATCTGCATGTGTGAATCTGTATTCATATACTTATGTGAGTTTATGCATATTTGCTTATGTAAAAGTTTTTTCTCCTGCAAGTGCTATTCTCTTCTCCTGGTTCATTAGAAGTTTATTGCTCCAAACTTACCCCGAGCCTGACAAACAAGTGGCATCTGGACAAAAGGGAAAAGGCTCTAGCAATTAATCCTTTCCTTTATCTTCTGCTGTTTTAAGACGGGGTGCTAGGTGCTAGAGACTGTAATCTCTGGCCTCAGAGGAACACAGAAGGCAGGTCAGCTACAGTAGCATAGTAACCTAGA